CATGACTACTTGATCGAAAAATTTGATATATATAAAGAGAGATAATTACATATACAAATAATAAAAATTAACTAGCTACTCTATGAGTTCAATGACTCTATACCTTTATCTGCTAATTAAAAATCTGGTTTTGAGTTAGACTCTATCCGACAATTCCTTATTTAAAAATAAATATTTGTACCAAGTACCAACCAACCAAACATATAATTCACATATATACAATGCTTAGAAAATATAGTATTTGATATATTGAATAAGTTCAACTAAAAACTCGAAAGAAAAAAATTACTATTTCTAAAAAGATGTAGTAATTTACATGAATTATGTTTTATTAAATATGATTTAAATACTTTATTCATTAATCAACAGTTTGGTTAATTATTTAAATGTCTACACCCCTTATAATTTTTTTTTTGTGTACGCTACTGTTTGTCTTAAGTTATCGAGTTGTAGCAATTACTTAGAAGTGTTGATAGGTTATCGTTACTTTGAGAAATAACATTTTGCTTCAATCTAGTGATTGATGGAATATGACTTAGGGTTAAATTTTGGATTGCAAAAAATTGTAATTAATCTGAATTTTAACGTGGAGTAGATCGGACTTTTTAAACCTATTGAGCATGATGATTTTCTATAAAAGAATCCTATGTTCTTTACTTTATGCACACTCAATAGATTTTTTATAGGGTCAGTATAAAATTTGAGAAGAACTAGGTTCTTGTAAATTGAAACTGAGCAAACTTTTGAAGATTTCAAAACTTCCTGAGCCATACATGTGAATAACGATGGAATCAAGATTTTTATTAAGGTGACTCAAAATAAAAAGAAGTAAATATGAAAAATACTAGAGGATATTCAATAATATATATTAAGTGTAATGCAACAATGTAGGGTTTGAAAATCGTAGAGTATATGCACACATTATTTCCACCTCAGTGAGATTGTTTAATTTTCAATAAACTATCGACACAATAAACAAGAGATATTCAAATTAATTTACTATAAATACATTTAAAAAAAATTAACTTTTTATATATATATAATGTATTTCTCCAAAATATCATAGCACAACTAAATAAGTTGTTCACGGTAACAAAAATAACTTTTAGCGTCAATAAATTCATATTAGCAAAAATATTAAAGTCTTTATTAACATTAGTTAATTGTCATTGGATTCAATATTGTTATAAACTTTAAAAACATTTACAAAAAGTGTTAATTGTCTCTAAAAAGCATGTGTAGCAACAATTAAACTATTACCGTTGCAACATATCTATTAAAATTATGTTTAAGTACCAGAAATATATTGTGGGACTATTTAAATTTTAGTGCATACGTACTAAATTGTTTAGTCCATTTTTTTCAATATTACTAATTATATCCCATCTGTCGTACTTTTTCCTGTTATGAATTTTTCAATTCTGATTTAAATAGTCATAAGGTCGGTATAATTATGACAATTAATTCTTTACTTTCTCAAGAATTTTGTGGAGCCTTTGAGTAATGATCACATTTATTTTAGTCTCTTTTTTTCAATTCATAAAAAAGTTTACAGTACATAAAATTTGGTGTGTGGGAAGCCACGACATTGTAGGGGCATACGTTTGTGTTTGATCGATAAATTAAATTTTAAAATATATTATTGATTTAGTGATGATGGATTAATAGTTATGTTTAAATAGATTTATAATTCATAACACTATTCCTTTAATACTTCTAGCTTTCGAGGTGCTTTCATTTATCAATAAATTAAAAGATACTTTTTGAACCATGCTGAATAGTCATGCATATACACACGACTCTTAAACCTAATTTGTGGTAGATTCCGAGAGACAAAATCAAAGCACAATATCGTTTGCCTCATATTTTGAGATGCTTGATTTTTTTCTGTTTTACGAATCCTACAACTCTCTTTACTAAGCCAGAGTACTCTATCCGTATTCCTATTATGTACCATTGTTCAGTAGCACTAAATTTTCTGATACAATCTTAACTAAACTGACAGTAAAATTAAGAAAGGACCACATAGTCCAAGATTATGGTTTGCATAGTTATTTCACTATATTAAAAATGATCTTTAGTGATAAATAATTGACGATAAAAGTTTAATTGCCACTAAATGTATATTTTTAGCGATAGTTACTAGTGACAATTACGCATTTTAACACTTTTTGTAAATATCGTTAAAGTCTATAGTGATATTAGATCTAATAACAACTAACTAGTATTGGTAAAGATTTTAGCACTCTTTGTTAAGATGCATATTTAGTACTACTAAAAATTTATCGATAATGAATATGCATCTTTACAAAAAATGCTAAAATCTTTATCAACATTAATAATTATCACATAAAACAATGTACATTCTAAATAATTATCACATTTTTAGAGTGCTAAAATCATACCCCAGAAAAAAAAGAAGTAATCATCACTTTTTTTTTAATTTTTATTATTTAGAAGTAACTTGCTGGGGTATAATAAGTATGTACATCAATTAAAATTGTCACTTATTAACAAGACAGGTGTACGTAATTGCTGAAATATTTATGAATGCTTGTTGGTCCTCACCACCCCCAATTGAATTGTCACTTATTAAACCAGATGGACATGTTTTGTATAGTTAAATTTTATTAATGTTATCCTTACATCTATTCCTTTGTCATTAAATTATTTAGCTCCCTGACGCTATGACATGACATGACATGAAATAATCTGCTCCGTTCGTAGTTAGAAATGGCAAATGAATGGGCAGGATTGGATATAAGAGACATGATTGGATGAATAATATAAATATTTATATATTTTCATGATCAGGTAAGAACATAAGTTAAAAATAAAAAATAAGTTCACTCTCAAAAATTTATAACTCATAAAAAATATCAAAAAATGCATATTGATAATATGAATATTTATATTATTCATTTTTATTGAATAATATCAATATTTGATTCATTTTGAAACGAGCATTTATTCGAACTATAGGCTATAATTAATGGATTGAATTGAATTATAACTTATTTTTTTAAAGTTTTACCTAAATCTAGGATAATGGTAGCCAAAGAAATTAACTAAGTAGTAAGCCTGAAACTTCAAATGTAGTAGATAAAAAATAAATGAAGATTCAAATTATACCTACATTAAATTTTTACATCTATCATGTCAATTTAATTGGTTGTGCCTATTTAATAATAGGTTACTCTTCTATTTTTATATTACCATATTAGCCTTGCTATAAGGCATAATACATAAATATGCCCTTTAACTTGGCTTCAAATTACATTTATGCCCTTCAACTTTGGGTGTGCACAAGTAGACACTTAAACTTGTATAAAGTTGAACAAATAGACACACATGTCCTACATGGAATCCTACGTGTCATTTTTTGTCCTACGTGGTGTCCTACGTGTATTGTGTCACGTACGACTCATGTGTCTACTTGTTCGAGTTTATACAAGTTTAAATGTCTACTTGTGCATATCCAAAGTTGAAGGGCATAAATGCGAAATGAGGTCAAGTTAAAGAGCACATTTATGTATTATGCCTTGCTATAATAGTGTAAAAAAATTACTACTGACAATTACATTTTAGCATATTTTATAAATGTCGTTAAAATCTATAGTAACATTAAATCGAATGACCATTAACTAATACTGATAAAGATTTTAATACTCTTTAGTAACGTACATAAGTATTGCCACAAAAAAGTTATTTTAATTGTAGTGATGAACCAATGATGATATTCAACATTGACCATAAAAATACTCAATATTAACCCCTTGATATTTTTGCTATAAATTATTAATTCTAATTTACTTATTTTACATGATTGATCTTAGTTGTCCTTTCTTCAAAAAAAAAATTATGTGGTGCATATATTTCGTTTGCATATCCAAAAAAAATAAAAATTGTCGTAAGAAAGTATCTATGTTTGGAAAAAACATATTTTTGACATTATAAATATCTCACATGGACTAAAACATAACAAATATGATAGCCAAGAAACGAGTGTATATCTTTATTAACCATTGTTATTGAGAGGCAAATCCATGGACATTATAAATAATCTCCCTTAACAAGTGCGAGACCTTTTGAACATGGACAAAAAAAATATTCCTAACTTTCGAGTTAGGACAAAAATACACCTTGAGCTTACTCACAATGATGTGGTTTAACATGATTGTTCTTGGTGTTTTATAGCATATCCTCAAAAATATTGAAAAAAGAAAGAATCGAGTTATTAATTTTCTTTTAACAATTTGATGCATAATGAAATTATTTATTTGTATCCATTTTTTATATCAAATCAAAATAGTTAATCTAAATGGTTAAAATTATCTATGATATACTTAATTATGATAAAATAATAAATACGTATATGCAATGAAATTTGGCATCGGATATCAACATTAAATCATAAATGGCATATAATATCACAAGTATTAAAAACAAATTGGCACCAAAATAATTTTTAATATTTTAGGCTATGGTTTTAATTGATCATAGTATTCGTTAAGAAAAGGTTCATCTAATAACATGAATAAAGGGTACATACATGTATCAAAAGTTCATTTTTGATACATATGTGCATACACTCAAAAAAAATAAAAATACAAGTATACATTGTATGCATATCAATCGAATGTGTGGTGTTTTGGGGTGATGATTTCTGAAGTATATTGAAGTGTACTGTGTATACAGTATAATAATACATCTCATAAAACACATATATAATGTATTTCGATTGCAAGTGAATATATATTATATCCAATAAAATATATGTGTTGATATAATTAAATTGAGCGAATAGATATAATATATCCAACGAAATTGTATATTATAGTATAATTAAGTTGAGTGAATAAATACAGTGTATCCAACAAAATTAATCGAACAAATGCAAAAAGGAGACGGCCCATTATACTCGGCCCATACAACTTCCGAGCCCTTAGTGTTTCACTCTTTCTTCTGCTTATTCTCAGCACGGCCAAAACCCAGCAAAAATGGCGTTAAGGGGAACGATGCTACGAACCGCCGGGAAGTTCGCCGGTGTGAACTCTAATCTCCGACGATTTATCCACATCACTTCACGTCCGGCGCCTCTAGATAGCGTGGTTGATCGGCTGACGGAGACATCACCATCGTTGGTTTTACCTGAAAATGAGAATAACAGCAGCATGTTTCCAAATTCACCTTTCAATTGGGGGTCCATGGAGCTTATGGCTGTTCCTAAGAAGAAGGTTTGATTTTTTTCTTCTTTTTAGAAGTGTTGCCGGTTTCAGCTTAGTTTAGCTTAATCCATTGAATCGTTAAATATATCCTTTAATATGATAGATATATAGCACTGAATTTTTAGGAAGTATTGCATATTTGCTTGTGCATAGCAATTAGAGGCAATACAAGCTAGATGACTCGAGGAATATTCTGAAGTTAGTTGCCGCTTAGGATCACTGTGAACATATCTTTCCCCTTGAGGATCAGTGATAGCTTGGGATATGATCCTTGCTGTAGAAAAGCAAAGCCATTGTCTCTGACTCTCTGTCGCTTGGATCCTCTAAAATGATGCTGCACCGGGGTCGGATCCTCTCAAAATGCAAGTCGTGTCCTAGCACGTATCAATAAGTTGAGTAGCAACTAATAAACCATAAACATTTGATAAATAAGCAATGAAGCCATGATTAGAGGATGTTGAGGCGGATGTGTGGGCATACTAGGAGAGATAAGATTAATAATCAGATATCTAGGAGAAGGACACTAAGATTAATAATAAGATATCTAGGAGAAGGTAGGAGTGTCCTCCGTGGTAGAGAAGATGATGAAAGCGAGACTAAGATAGTTTGGGCATATAAAAAGGAGATGCGAAGATGCCCCCACGAGGAGGTGTGAGAAGTTGACTGCGGTGGGTTTAAGGAGAGGTAGAGGTAGGCCGAAGAAGTATTGAGAGACGATTAGACACGACATGACACATCTTTAGCTTATCGGGGACATGACTAGATTACGGATTAGTGAGCGTTGTCTCACTTTCTTATGGGATAGGCTTGGTGATAGTTTGGTGCACGTGCACCGTACCTATTTCTCCTTTCATACCAGTAGCATCATTTACTCTTGTAGTTTCTTATCCTACGATTTTTGTTACTAGCTATTGTTTCTTTTTTTTTATGACAAAAAATCCAGAGTGCTAACCACTACACCATAGAACTGGATGATACTAGCTATTGTTTCTTGTGCTTTGGTTATTGCATTATTTGGCTGTTGTTATTCCTTGTTTTCTGAATGCTATGTAATACTTCTCCTATTATTTGATATGTCCTCGTTTCTTCTGTATTTTCCTTTTCTAATTGCGATATATGTGTTACTTGAGTCGAGAGTCTTTTGGAAATAGTCTCTCTACCTCCATGAAACAGGGGTATGGTATTGAGCAACATAGGTCATTGTTTTAAACCAAACTAACCGTTTGTAATGTTTTTCATCTGGTTGTGCATGTTGGCTTTGCGCTTGTTTAGATTTTCCTATTCTATCACATGTATGCACAAAATACGTACATGCTCTGAACTTATGTGTGTTGGATGGTGCTCTGTGAAGAGAGAGTGTTATAGAATTTACATCTGACTTTTTTTTTAATGGATTGTGGTTAATAATGCAGGTTTCTCCTCACAAGAGAGGCATAAGGAATGGACCAAAGGCTCTAAAACCCGTTCCAGTGATTATTCGTTGCAAGTAAGAGCTTTTCCAGCAAAGAATACAATTTGGATTTGAAAAGTTTTTACTAATACTATTTCAAAAAATTTTTTTAACTAATAAGCAAAATCCCTGGTGTCATTTAGCCTGTATACTCTTGAATTTAGAAGAGCTGGTTTGAGTTTATTGGAAAAAATCCGACTCTACCTGCAATCTCTCAAAAATAATAGGAACCATCTCGAGGACAATCTAATATTTGAATTTGGAAAACACCTTAGCCCCCCAAATAGTACAAAAGTAAAACAAATAAAAAGAGTAAAAGAGGAGGCATACAATTTTTGAGTAAAAGAAAATCAAATAAGAAGGAAATGATTATTTCGATAATTACTCCATGTATTGAGCTTGCATTGGATTGCTTAGCTTATTCGCCATTATTTGGTCAACACTTTGTTAACCTTCTATTTGGAAGTTCAAATTGTTGTTTTTCTTCTGTGTACTGATAAATGAAAGGAAGAAATCGGTCTGAGAACTTGGACCGAGTCAAAAATATCTGATTGAGAAATTAAGTGCTTGGAAACTTTCAGTGGTGACTTTGTTGATTAATATCTCTAACTAGGTTCTATAACTGCACTATTACTATAGTTGGTTTTATTTTAGTTGAAGCACTTCAGTTTCAAAAATTTGCTTCAAACTAGGGGGTTGGTGGGTGGCCGCATTTCGCCTTATTGTTGAAGTGTCAATTGCTGATAGCATTGGTCTTAACTGTGTTATGAAGCAGATGACAGTTAAAAGTTTCTCTTTACTCATAAAAAACAGAATTAATTGATAACTGTGATTAATAGGCAAAAGATTTGTTCATCTACTCAGGAAAGATACAAACACGCTGTCAGAAAACGTATGGTTGTGTTTCCGAATGTCAGGGAGATTTTATCTGCTATCCACATTTTCTTTTTCCAGGCATTTGCCTGTTTTGAATTTCGTTTATCTGCTGTTATTATTGACAACTCTCTTCCTCTATATGCCCTCGTCTTGTTCATGGTTAATTCCTTCTTCTTTTCAGTTTTATATTCTTAATTTTGCTGAAAAACATCTGATGGCTCGTTTTAACGCCAGTGCTTATATGTAGAGTAACATTGAGTCAGCTTTCAAGAGGGTCTAAGTTTTTAGCATAATTTGGTTAAGAAAATGATTTGAAAGATGTTATCTTTTTAAGTGACTGAATGAGGAGTATATATTGAACGTTTGAGTCTCTGAGGTTTTTCATGCAGTCAGTAATCCTTGCTTAAGTATCTGACATATCTTGTTGATGCAAATAAACTTGCAGGGCTTGTGGTCGAGTCAAGTTGCCACATTTCTTTTGTTGCAGTGGGATTAAGCAGAACCCTGGTGAAGAGAACAATTCTACCGGTTGATCAAATTGAAGGGATCATTCGACATATTTTTCTTCATTTTCAAATCCCTTTCTTTGTAGTAGAATCTCCAGTTAGAAACTAGGAAGGTTACGTTGTATCATGCCCGCATTGTGTACTGTAGTGTAGTCATTGCAGCATGTACTCAAATTCCATGTTAAGTTGCACTATATCAGTTGCTTTATTCTAACCTTCCCTTGAATTGGTGACAAGTAAATCTAGCCAAATAATAAGAATTGGAGACTAGAAAGCATACCAGAGGAAGGTCATGCCATCAACAGATAGCTCTTTGGTTCTAAATTCTAATTAGTACTTAAAGAGGCTATAGAATCAACATGCAGTCTGAAGCAGCAACTTATGCTTATCTGCTTATTTTGAAGAGAACTATGTCTGCAACACTTGCTCCTCACTTTAATTATTTCCCATGGCTATTATGATTTGGTGTGTTTTATTGATTCCATCAACTCCCCAGTCTTCAAACTTTCCCATGTATGAGAACACTCAACAATGTCCGAGCTTCTTAAAAATAAGTGAAGTGACTTTTTAAGAAGTAGGGAAAATATTGCTCCCTCAACTTCCTACGTAGGGTTTCGTAAAAAAATTGCAAAGAAATCACTCGAAAGTCATATCACCAAGATATTCATGGGCTAACACATGAAAAACTGAGAAAATCGTTTAATTCTTGTAAATCAACTCCTAAATGCCTGAAAATGCCTCAAAAATGGTGAGACTGTATATACTGATCTCCCAACTTGCTATGGAGTGTTCCGTAAAGGTTTCGCAAATAAATCATTTGGAAGCCATATCACTGAAATATTCATGGGTTAACACACACGAAAATCAACCACCAAAATATTCATGGGTTAACACACACAAAAATAAATCACCAAAATATCATAGGTTAACACACGAAAACCAATCACCAAAATATTCACGGGCTAACACACACGAAAAACTGAGAAAATCGTCTAATTCCTGTAAATTGGCCCCTAAATCCCCAAAATGCCTCAGAAAAATGGTAAGATTGTACGTACCGCTCCTCCTACTCCGTACAGAGGGTTCTATAAAGATTTTGCAAAGAAATCATTCGGAATCATTTCACCAAAATATTCATGGGCTGATACACAAGAAAATTGAGAAATCGCCTAATTTCTGTAAATTGTCCCGTAAATGTCTTAGGAAAATGGTGAGACGGTACTTACTTCTCCCCTATTCCCTACGGAGGGTTCCATAAAGGTTTTAGAAAGAAATCCTTCAGAAGTCATATCACCAAAATATTAATGGGCTAACACACACGAAAAACTAAGAAAATCACTCAATTCCTGTAAATTGGCCCCTAAATGCCCAAAAATGCCTCAATAATGGTGAGACTGTATGTACTGTTCCCCCAACTCCCTACGGAGTGTTCTATAAAGATTACACAAAGAAATCCTCCGAAAGTCATATCACCAATATATTCATGGGCAAACACATGAAAAATTGAAAAAAAAAATCTTGAAAAACACATCTGACCATACAATATCAAAAACAACAACATACCTAGTGAATACCTCTAGCTGGGGTATAGTGATGATAAATTGTATGGAGGTCTTATCACTACCTCATGGAGGTAAACGTTGTTCGAAAGACTTTTCGCTCAAGTGCAACAATTTTAAGTATAAGAAGAGAAAAGTGACAAAAACATAACAACAAATAAGAGAAGCAAAGCAAAGCCTACAGAAAATATATATATATAAACAACAACAAAATAGTACAGTAGCCGAAACACAATAAATAAATGATGATATAATTTTAAAAAGTAGAACTATAAGAATACAACTAGTATAATGACAAACACAAGATATCACTCCACAACCTACTAAACTTCTACCCTAATATGCAACCTCTATACCGTCCTATCTAAGGTCATGTCCTCGGTAATCTGAATTTGTGGCATGTCTTGTATAATTACATCTTCCCAATACTTTTTCAGTCTATCACTACCTCTCCTCGTGCCTATTACATCCAGCCTCTATACTTCGTTATTGGAATGTCTATGCATCTCCACTTCACATGTACAAATCCTCACAATTTCACTTCCTTCATCTTGTCCACCACGTACGTTACTCCTACCTTATCTCGAATAACCTCATTGTTAATCTTATCACTCTTAATATGCCCACACATCCATCTCATCATCCTCATTTCCACGATATGCATCCTCTACCCCATACAATAACGTCGGTCTAACCACAACTTTATAAAATGTACCTTTAAATTTTAATAGTACCTTTTTATCACAGAAACTCCAGAAGCAAAGACTCTACTTCATCCACGCTGCACCAATACAATCTGTGATATCGATGTCAAATGTCCCCACTTCCCTGAATTACAAACCTGACATATTTAATATAATATGTATTTAAAGAATCATATATATTTTATATAATTAACTTATTTATATAATAGATGTTTGAAAACACGCATAATTCTTTTTTTTTTCTTCCAAAATACCAGTTAAAAATATGTAAATAAAATTCATTTGCAAAATTACTCTAAAATAAAAAGTAAAGACAAAAAAAAGAGTTTTTTTAATCTTTGAGAAAAAGGGCTTAAAGAGGGGTTTTATGAGCAACAAAGGAAGACAATTACCTTCCGCCTTCAATCTCAAACCCTAGCTCCACCAACTTCACCACTATGTCTTCTTCTTCTTCAAATTCCTCGCAAACCCACGAACCAAATCCCCAATCCAACATAAATACCAAAACCCAAGAAGAAATTCTCAAAAAAGACGAGGAAAAACAAGACGAAGAAGAAGAAGAAGAATGTGGGTTCTGTTTATTCATGAAAGAAGGTGGATGTAGAGACCCTTTTATCGATTGGGAAAAATGCGTTGAACAAGGGGAAAAAAACAATGAAGACATTGCAGAAAAATGTTTCCAAGTTACTTCTGCTTTGCAGAAATGTATGGAAGCTCATTCCGATTACTATGCTCCAATTTTACAGGTAGAGAAAGATGTAGAAGCTAAGGTTATTGCTGAATTCGAGAAGAACAGAGAATCGATTGAGCAGAAAGAAGAAATGTAATTTTTCTTTTTTTTTGAAGATTCTGGGTATGATTTTTGATTATTTTTTTCCCCTAAAGAGATGAATTTAGGATTTTTTTGTTTTTGTTTTTTGAGAATTGAAAAGAGAAAATGGAGAGTTTTTTGACTAATTTATCTGTCCAATAAATAATTGTAATAAAAATGCTACAGATTTTTCATCAGTTCATAGAATTGTAATATTTAAGTGCAAAGAGTAATTTGCATTGTATTTCCTTGTTTATGCATTCGGTATTTACTTGATAAATTATGATCTCTAGTTTGACTATGATATGAGTCGCGACTATAAATCCTATGACAGGGCGGTAGATATATATAATACATGATAAACAGTCTTGTGACTATGACAGGGTGATAGATATACATGATAAATAGACTTGTGACTGTGGCAAGGCGGAATATATACACGAAGGAATCTTGTAGAGGTGTGGCCTGGTAATTAATAAAGCAGATTAATAATAATGAGATTTTAGATTTAGTTTCCAGCGGAGGCAAAAATGTAGATTGGTCTATCAAATTAGTTGAGCTGTGCACAAGTGTTATGCTACTCTGTAATCATTCCATGGTTAGTTGTGCATTGTTTTAGTAGTGTGGGTCAAGTAGTTTTACATTTGATACTTGTATACTTTTCTGTCGTCAATATCATCTTTAACCGAACTTAGACGTCGTTTGGTGGCTAGTTAAGAAGTAAATTATTTGTATATTAATTTTTTTGCTTTGCTCTTGAGTGGTGGTGTAAAAATTAAAAAGTAAACAATAGATATCGTATGAACATTTAAGTGAGGTGTGTTGTTTTATCTCTTCGGCATGACAATTTTTAGGATGTAAGAGTCTTATTCTTTATCTATACATTCTTCTCCATAGGTTTGGAGGACTCAATTTTTACACACTTTAACACTAGAAGTGTGTTATTTCCGACATTTTCACCATTGTTTACTTGCTTAAGACATCTTCAATAAAGTATAGTTGAATATTAACTCTCCATTTTTAGCTTCTCAATTTCACTTATTAATTCTTTTTTCGTTCTTTTAACTTATAACTAATTTGTTGAGCATTACACGCATCAATCTTTACACTCACTTTAGCCTCCAACTCCAAGCATGAATAGCATAACACTACCAAACCATGTGATCTCTTGTCCAAACACATGTATTCCTTCTATTAAGTGTCTTATCTCATTTGAATTTTCTCACATAGATCCCCATATTTTTCTAATATTTTTTCATAAAAATTCATACTATTAAAAGTACAAGCATTATGACAATTATCATAATAAATTAAGGATTTGAGGATGAATAACAACAATTTAGGACATTTTTTCCATGCCCCTCACAAATTGAGATGGTGCACACAACTCATGTTTATTCCGAAAAAGTATAATTGAATTTATACACAAAATTTAAAGGATGAAAGATATTATTCCAATTGAGGTAAATGATTTACTAAGCAAGTAAGAAATAAATTAATGAGAAATTGAATATATTAAGCAAATAAAGAATTAGGATAGCCTGAGTCAACCTGATTCTAGTGACGTTGATGTTGGAGATATCCTCGGGAAAGCTTAACTTATGCAATGAGTCAATCGAACAAGTAACAAAATTGCCAAAGAATAAAGTAGAAGTTCATTGTTTACAAGGTTATGATTCCACAACTTTTCTAAAGGGTGTTTTTCCGGAGATGATTGTCCATAATTAATCACTGTAACTCATGATAAATAACATAATTAATGACATTTAAGAGTAAAGAGTAACGTCTAACTTCACTCGTGAGACAATTTCATAACAACTAATAATGATCGTTGGCTTTTTTTCTAGGCCTTGGTCTAGCCTGATTTCTACGGGGTGAGTTGTATCAACAACCTCTCGATGTGTTATGTTACTTTGGCCATCTCCCACATGTCCTTGCTTGATTCAACCACGCATTTCATCCAACAATGTTCATTTATTAAAATTAATTTATAAAATAAAATTTTAAAAACGACATTGTCCATCGGAAATTCATTTTTACATAATCCAACCTAATAAAATTAAAGGAACCGATAGACCGCCCTCAATATTTTTCGACTTTGTTCATTGATTCTTCTAAAGCGACAAAGCAAAAATCGATATCTCTTGCTCATCGGTTTACTCCAATAAACTGACAAATATATTTAATTTCGATCATCAATTTTAAGCGTTTAACAATTTAAAAGAAATTTTAACTATATATGAACTATCAAAGGAATATGATTAAACAAAAAAAACTCTAAAATTATGTTAGGTGGGCTAAACTTGCAACACATTTTTTTTTTTATACTTAAAAGAACAAGTCAAACAGAGCTTCCAAAGTACAAACAATTTTGTCCATAAAAAAAAATTACATATGCAATAACTAAATAAACAAAAATCAAATTAATGATTAAAAGATATAAAAATACTTATAATTATTTAGAATAAAACCTCCCATTGTTGGAGAAGAGTAAGACATTACCAAATCAAAACCTTATTGTTTTGCTATATTTTTCTTCAAAAGTCTTATCATTAAAAAAAAAATGAAGATCCTCACAAGTAAATCACTGTTTATGTTTCTAATCTTGATGTTTTTTTCAATGAAAATACATTCACTGCAATTCGAAGTTTTATCTGGTCGCACAAAATGCATAGCTGAAGATATCAAGAGTCATTCCATGACTGTTGGCAAATATCATATTGTCAATCCCAATGAACCACATCCTTTGCCAGATACTCACAAAGTCACCATCAGGGTAAATTTTTTTTATTTTTTTTTAGATTTTTGTATGATTTTGATTGATATTTGGGATATGAAGCAATTGGGTGTGTTTGATTTGATTTTTCTAGGGTAAAAAATATGAGTTTTTGAACTTTTGGGTAAGCGTGTATGAGCTTTACCCGAATCAACAAGTATTGTGGTGGAGGGGTAAATACTCGTTAATCCTTAATGAGAGGTATCAGTTTCGAGTTTTAGAGCCTGTTTAGATTGGTTTATTTTAGGTGTTTTTAAGCTAAAATAGCTTTTGAACACTTTTGTAGTGTTTGAGTAGGATTGTAAAGTGCTTTTAATGACTTAGTTTTAAACCAAAATAACAAAAAAAGAAGAAGCTAAAAGTCGTAAGGGAGGATGCACTCGTCAAAAATGTCAATGGATGTGTGTCGCATTCTCCAGAAGTAGTGTATTTTTGGAGAATTCGATGTGGGTGTGGCATCGAAAGTGAAGAGTTCATGCAACATTGGTCATAAGTTAGAAAACTTAACTTATGACTTTTGGCTTATAAGTCCATCCAAACAAACTCTTATTGGGTATGGAATTGTCTTTGTCAGACAACACTTTACCTTCTATATGGGTCTTCTTGGCGAAACCGTCTACAACAACCATATTAATATACCTTAATTCCAAAGTAGTTAGGATAGGTTACGTGAATATGTTGTACTCCCTCCGTCCCATATTACCTGTCACATTACCTATTATTTGTTCCAAATTACTTGTCAATTTACAAAACAAGGATATAATTAGTTACTTTCTGTTTTGCACTTAAAACTAATTCGTTTTGAAAGTGTAAAAAGTATTTATCACCTGCATAAATATTGTAAAGTTCCTCTATTGTTAATCGTTTACATGTACACTTTACTCAAAAGAGTGCATTAATTGCCTAAATTCTTAACTCGCGTCCATTTGCATTTTTTAGCAGATCAATCATTCTTTTTATAGGGAATTTTTTCATTTTCATATAGGATTCAAGCAATTTTCATGGAAAAAATTTTGGCTCCGAAAATCTTTTACCTTGAGATGTTTTCAAACAGTGCTATGAAAAATTCAAAATATTAAGGTGAACTGACTTTTGCATAAATGATCTTGATACTTCATTAACTCGAGTTTATTAGTTTGAGGCATTCTTCGTCTTGATGGATAAGGCATATAAGTAGAGTGTATTAAAAAAAGCTAAAGGTAAATAAGTAAAAATATCCTTCTTATTTATGATTTTGCAAGGGGCGTGTTAAGGGGAAAGTGGACAAGTAATATGGGACGGAGGGAGTATTCTGTTTACTCCATATAAACTTGTTTCATTCTAACAGTACTGATATAGCATGTATCGGAATGAACATGTCACAATGCATTCAATATTATGTTGATTTGTCATAAGTTGGCTAGCTTTACACTGGCAGTCAACTTTGTCACTCTCTTATATCGGGATTGTGGCAAAAAATGTGAGCAGGCAGGATTAGCTTCTAAACCCTTCAGTTGGAACTTTTGGTTAGTCAATATCTGCTTGATTGATTTGCATAGTCTGTATTAACCTTGCCCTTTTTATTTATTTGGGATTGGGATTGGCAATGTGAGCTTACTCAGGATACGAAACTCAATCAGGCGGAGTTAGCTTCTAATACTTGAGTTTGGATATTTTAGCTAGAGAAAATCTGTTTGATTCTTTTGCATTTTGTCCTGATGAACCACAAAATTCTGAATTTTAATAAGAGCTTTCTTTTCTCTAAAGCTATTTGGATGCACGAGTAATAAGGATACATGTGATTTAAGGATTGTCATAGGTTTCTTTAAAAAAAACGTGATTCCCCTAGGTTCATAAATGATGAGATATGCTCCTCTCTCATGCATAAATCAAGAACTTTTGTATATCATATGTTACATTGATCAGACTAATCAGTTTCCTCTGGTCAAAAGATGAAGTTTTATGTGGTTTGTGTGAATTAGGTGACATCTACGCATGGGAATACTTTTCACTATGCGGATAATGTTCATGAGGGGCATTTTGCTTTTGAGACAACAGAAGCTGGGGATTATATGACTTGCTTCTATGCTGCTGATCACAAGCCCCCTGTTACTATGACTATTAATTTCGACTGGAAGAGTGGTGTAGCTGCTAAGGACTGGACTAATGTTGCCAAGAAAGGCTCTGTTGACGTAAGCCTTATTTCTTCTTCATGATTGCTTATGCCAAATCACACGTATGTGGGTGTCCCTATCTAATTC